GAGAGAGAGAGAGAGAGAGAGAGAGAGAGAGAGAGACCCTGATGCTTTTCTCTCCAGAAGGATGCCTGTTCTGCATAGAATGAATACTTGAAATTGTGTGTGCCAGCACTTTGCTTTCGACTTGGGTAGAGGCGCTTCACATTGATGAATTTACTCATGTTGAATGCTTAAAATAAGAAAGAAGCAATGCCATGGACGAACACCTTCGGCCTATGAATCTGCTATTTTCATTATTAAAAAAAAAAAAAAAAAGGTAGCTACTAGCTAGTCAAAGGGCTGCTGATTGGATGCTTTGAGAAAAAAACAAGGATTTGCTAGAAAAAAAATAATAGATGATCTTCGTAAATTAGCTGAATCAAATCGTGCGGCGAGCCTCCGGAGGCTCTCGCTAGAGGCTGGTCACGACCGATTGCGTATCACGGTCTGCCCAATCAGCAGCAATACGACAAGCACGAAGTGGCAGACGTGAACTTTATTTTTTTATAATTAATTTCGCCAGATTATGGAATATCCAAACCACTGACAAAAGCAAGAAAACTTTCCCGCCAAATTTTTTTGATTGATCATGACTGGGCCGTGAACGGCTTGCGCTTGAATGCTTTTCTTTTTGACGCTGCACCTGCCTTGATGTGTGAAGAATGCCCGTCCTGGATTAGTGATTGCTTCCCTGTGGATTGTGCGCATGTTTCCACGATTGTTGTTGTGGCAGTGACCAGGCTGCTTTGTCACTGCCTGTTTCATGTTTTTCACAAATATGAGGAGTGGATGTTGCATTTACTGAGTAGTCGAATTGTGTCTCTGACTCTATGCTGAAATGCAGGTCATTTGCTGGGTGCTTGGGGAGTATGGAACAGCAGATGGTGTACACTCTCTTGATGAGATTGTGGGGAGGCTTTGTGATGTAGCGGAGAGCCACGCACATGACGACTCTGTCAGGGTAAATGCATTGCGCAGTTTCGAACTCCCTTTTCCTCTGACCATGCACACATTGTGACGACACTGTGCCTGCAGCTTTCAACAAACAAGGAACGAGTTTCTATCTGACCATGCACACATTGTGAAAATCTTCCAAGAGTGAGGACTCCATTGTTGCTTTAGCAAAGAACTCCACAAGTTGTGGGTGGTTCAGCAAAGAAGTTAAAATAAAATTGAATACATGGAATGAAAAGAGTATGTGAGGTAGGTGTTGTATGCAAGCTGACCGTGGTTCTATGTGGGCAGCGCATTGTGCTTATGTGGGTTGAGTGTAGTAGTTTGTGCGCTGGGTGTCATACTCTGTGGGCTGGGTGTGGTACTCTGTGGGCTTGGTGCGGTATTACCTGGGCTTAGTGGCAGGTGCAATAGTGAGTGGGCTTAGTGCAGGTGCAATAGTATGTGGGGAATAGCGCGTGGGCTTAGTGCAGTTGTGGGCGGGGTGCAATGCCATGGGGACTGGATGTGGTGCTAAATGGGCTGGGTGTGGTACTGATGCGAGGGCCGGCAGTTTTGTAGCACCTGCCAGTGTACCATAATTTTAAATAGTCTGTGCTTGCTGTGGTTTGGTGTGATTTCACCATTGTCATTGTAGCTCTTGGAATTGTTTGTTTGTCCTTTTGTTTGACTTTTCACAAAAGAGGTCTGACAAATAATGCAAAACCTCGTAGGCCTAAGTTGACTGCAGGGTACCGGAACCTTCCGGTACTTCTGAACCCGGCCTGAAGAGTGGAAAGGTTCGTGGTGCCAGCCTCGTTGAATCATGCATGAAATGGGCCCAGACTTTGACGTGAACCGGGCAAAGGGGCCGATGCACTGGCAGACCGGCAAATTACTTAAGTCGGCCGGCCGTTCCAGTCCCGAGCAGACGTGCACTGGATACAACACCGCCAGGCTGCTCAAACGTTTTGCAATGCAGCGGGAATCTTGCGCTACTTGGAGCAGCGCTAACCTGCGCTACTGAGCACGAGCACCTCGACAGTGCTGGAAGAAGAAGACCTGTGTGTGTCGCGTGCTGGCTGCTGCGTGCAGCTATTGTGGTAGGGAGTAGCAGCGGCAGGCTAAGTGAGGCTCGTGACTTATAGGTGCCTGTGGTAGTGGTGTTTACCAGTGGGAGGCAAAATACTGAGATGAGAACAGAGCGAGGTGGACTTGGATGTTGTTCTTGAGTGAGGTGTTTTCTGGCTGTGGGTCTCTCGGCGGAGGTGAAACTATGCGCACTACTTGACAATGATAATACTTGGGGAAGGCGTTAAGGAGGTCGGAGGGAGCAGTGGAGACCTACATTGGAGACTTGGTATAGAACTGATGAAAAGTAGAACAAGATAATGCAGTAATTGTTTCCTTTAGTCTTCAGGACCATGTTGGTGATGATGCCACGATGTAGAAAAGAAAACACCTACATTGGACCCATTTCCCTCTATCCACTTGTCGCAGTAGTACACAACGACTCGGCCCTGCTGTTGCTCGTCAGATCAGGCCATCAAATACACACATTCAGAAATGATCCAAAATTCTTCCGCCAAGCAACCGCGCCCTCCACCCAACCAGCATTGCCCACAGAACAATCCCATTCATTTCGCCGTATGTGTGCGTCATCGTCGAAAAGGGGGGGCACACTAACCTTCTTTGCATCTTTCCCAATTTTGATGGAAATCCAAAGGACTAAGAGTTTTCCATTTACCGTCAGGAAAATGTCTCTGAAAAGAATGACCTCTGTGCAATGCCAGAACTTGTCGTGAATGATGAACGAAACTACGTGGGAAGCTGGAGAAGGCAGGAGACAGGCTGGGGAGAGAGAGAGCAAGGAAAGTGAGCCAGCATGAAGCCTACAGGTTGTGTGCCTCCTCCTGCTAATTGTTCTGTATTGTGTGTGTCTGTGATTTGAGGACAATGCAGGGCTATGTGTTGATGGCGATAATGAAACTTTGCGCATTTGAAATAGGAGCAGGCACGACCGTCGATCTCATTCCAGAGGTGAGATTTCAACAGTGCTGGACAACGGTCTCAACTTGTTGGTAGCGATTGAATGCGCGTGGCATAGTAGGAGTATGTCATTTCATTGACACGTGTCAAAAAGCAAGCGGGCAAATATTAATACCCAGCTTCCAAGTGAATCACAAAAGAAATCGTTTGCGCTAGAAGCGGCTAGACACACAGTTTTTTTTTTCTTCGAACAGTAGGATAATTGTTCGTGCTTCCAAAAATAATAAAATATTGCTGCTCTCCATGTTTCGTACTGTTTTTTTGAGTCCAGCAAGGAACCTGTGGGGGGTAGGAGTTAGTTGCTCAAAGTGGCGTCAGTCTGTTACACTCTGCTCTCCAGCAAGGGAATTAGCGGGAAGGGGAAGTAATACATATGCTCATCCAGTGCAAATTGTGTAACAGAGTATTGATGCTCTCCTTCCTTTATTACCTTTCTTTTTCGGGGAGGAAAAGGGAAAACTAAAAAGCAAAGAAAAAAATGGTGAAGTTGTGTGGGTGGGTTCCCGAGCTATCGGTACCACCGAACCTCTTTTCCTCCCGATGCGTGATTCCGCCTGTCCCTAAGATTCCAAAGTTCCGAATCTGCTGCGGGTCGAGGGCCCACTGAGCACCGCCCAACCCTTTTTGGTCTGAAGGCCAGACATTTTCGTGGCACTGGGTTGACCAGCGGGTATGCACAGGGTTGTTATCTGGGGTACGGGTGGTTTAAGCCCGGGCTTAGCGTAACGTACAAGGTTACGTAAAAAAATGGTAAGAGTGTTGAAACTGTTGATGCATGTGGACGGCTTGCAGCTTTGCATTCATGAGTTTGGTGAGCTCTGTAGCATGGTGGCGTTTCCCGCCTGTTTCTCAGCTGGTCCAAACCTTGTTGCGTTCTGACTTCGGACAGGGGACGTTGCCCTGGACATATGCAGGCTAGGGCACTTTTGGAGGAGATGCTTCGGTCGCAGTCAACAGACCTGCAACAGCGAGCTTATGAGCTGCAGGGCTTGCTGTCGCTGAATCGAGACGTTGTGCGGAGGGTATTCCCAATGGATTCTTCATGCAAAGAAGTTGAGGTGAGACCTAGAAAGACCTTCCACCAAGGGGTGCGGCCGCCGCCCCCACTGAGGCTATGCTTGTTGTAAGGTAGCATGAACCTGACTGTTTTGACAACTGGGTTCGTTATGCTTCCTAAGCATGAAGATAGCACCGGAGGGTCCTGGCGCCTGTGACAGACTATTGAGGCGTTGGAAACCTGCTATGTTTTCTTTCTTTTTTTCGACCCGGTTTGGACTGGGCGTGGGGGCCCGCGCACAACATGTTTTGGGCCAGGTGGTTCTGGCCAGTTACCCACGGTCAACGAATATATATATATATTGTTTTTTTTTTTTTTTTTTTTTTTTTT